TTTTTTTTTTTTTTTTTTGTACAGGGGATTGAACTTGGGTCCTTGCGCTTGCAAGGCAGGCCACTGAACCGCTGAGCTAAATCCTCAGCCCTCTTTCCCTTTAATTTTATCTAACTTTTAACTTTTCTTTCTGTCCACATCTTTTTCTTTTTGAAACAGCTTCTCATTGTGTTGCCCAGGTTGACCTTAAACTTGTGATCCTCCTGTCCCAGTCTCTCAAATATCTAGGATGATAGCCACGTGCCACCACACACCTGACTCTCAAACCTTATTTTGAAATTATTCTTTTCCTTTTCTTTGGTACCAGGGATCGAACTCGGGTCCTTGCACTTGTGAGGCAGGCAGTGGAACCATTGAGCTAAATCCCCAGCTCCTGAAATTACTTTTTGTTCTTCAACTTTTATAGTAGTATCTTGTTCACAATTTGAGAATGTATCTTTTTGAATTCCTTTTACTGATCCTGATTGATTTGTGTTCTTGGTTTTCTTGCTGTTGGTCTTTTCCCTGCTGCCTGGTCTTATTGTTGTTCTGTTTATAGGACAGAGTGATGGGATAGGCTGTATAGATTGTCTCTTGTGTGAACAGACTTGTAAATTCTCCTGGCATACTCTGGGCAGGGAGGGTCATGGCACGCATCATTTTTTGGCTCTGTGACCCCTCTAGCCACCATCCCATTTTCTACTCGTTTAGAGTGAAACTCTTGCAGAGTTCTGTCTGGGCTTGCTGTCTCTGCTTTCTCTCCTCTTGTTTATCCTGAGTCCCTGCAGTAGGCTTGTGCGCTCATCCCTGCACCAGGGACTTCCGTGCTGCTAATTCTCTGTCTTTATCTTCTGTGACCTGTTGGCTACATGACCCTCCTTTATTCTTCAGATATTCCCTTCAGTTTGCTCTTAGTACGTGTCCTCTTGGTTCTTTTCTTGTTCTCTTTAAATCATTTGCTGGTGTCCTTTCATCCTATTGACCTTCAAAGATAGGCGTTTCTCTGGGCGTGGTCCTGTGGCTGTCTTCCTGGTGCTCTGCGGGATCTTCTGATCCACCTTGACATTGCACTCATGAGGTCAAGGGTTAGGAGACTTTCTGTAAAGGTTTTGTAAACTGGGTGATCTTTATAGCAACTGTTATTTAGGTTTTGCAAGCCATGCGCTCTTTGTTGTGACCACTCAACTCTGCAGTGTGGTGTGGAAGCAGTGATAGATGTTAGGAAAATGGGCCGGCGGGCTGGGTCCCTGTCCACCACACAGAAGACAGAGGGCTGCGTTGGGCCTGCGGGCCTTCGTTTGCTGACTTCTTTATTTGATGCTGATCTGCAGATTTATGTTTCAGATTTGCACTGATCCTCTTGTTCCACTTGCCTGTCTTACATCTGCGTGGATGTCTAGGGAGCATCTGAAAATCAGCACCCTCAGGTTTTCCATTTTTTGTCCAAACCTGTTCTCCTTTACCATTTCTTTAAATGACAACCTCATCCTTCCATTCGCCTAGTCCAAAAAACCTTTGACTTCTCTTTCTTACAGCATATGTCCAGTCTATCAGCGAATCCTGTTTGTTCTGCTTTTTGAAGTAACCTGGGTTTGAATTACTTCTCCTGTTTTTCACCGCTGCTCTCCGAACCATCATTGTGTTCTGTCTAGGTGACAGTGGTCACCCTCTCTGCCTGGGCTACCTCACAGCCTGCTCCCTCATTACTTCCGGTCTGGCTCAGGCCTTAGTTTTATCTTTGAGGCTGATCACAGCCCTCCTATTCCAGTACCCACTACCAGGAGTTACCAGAGGACTCCATGGGCTTGAGGCTCGGTTCCCAAGACTGTCTGATTTCACACGACACTCGCAAAGGCCCATCTAGAAACTTGGGGGTTCCCATACCTCCTCCCCAGCTTTGGGAACTCAATAGGACCAGTCACAGAACTCAGAGACCTGCTTGACTTATGTCAATTATTGAGTGTTCTCTTAGAAACAACCTGGCTCAGGAGTAGGCAGCTGGAAGAGGGGTACAGGATGAGGTGTGGAGGAGTGGTGTGTGTGGAGCTGGCTCACCTTCTGCCCTGCATGTGTCCCCGCCTGTGAGCCCCACTGTGCAGGGACTTGTTACCTGGAATCTGTGATTTCACTCTGTGATCGGAGATGAGAGGGAGCTGCAGCTACCTCCAGTTCTGTGTGTGCTGTTTCTGGCCTATGCAGATCATAGTTTAGTTATAGTTTGGGCACCTGGACTATAGGAACCAGCCTGTGAGCTCGAAGCTGACCAAGCAAGGGGTGACGAGGATGAAAAAGAAAGAGACACAGAAACAGGTTAAAATCTGGGGGCCAGGGGGCTCATGTCTCCCTTTGGCATAGAGCCCCAAGTGACTGGAATGCGTTGGCTTTATTCACTCATATATGGCACGAGCAATTAGGGTTCCATAGGAACCCACTGTCTCCCACTCTCATGGTGCTTCTCTGGGCAAAAACTGGAGTTTCTACTTTTCAGGTGGCTTTATTTTTCCCTGCAGCGCATCAGCACACTTGCATGCCGTCTTTCCTGTCAGAGCTCCTGCAGAGACCAGTTAGGCCTCATCCTTCCCATCTGGTCGTCTACACTAGGGAGTCAGTGTTGCACAAACAAATGAAACAAAGGAAAATGTTTTCTTGCGGTACTGAAATCTGGCCAGAAGTTTTTGCTTTCTCCAAACATTTAGCTTTCTCCAACAAAGAGCTGGTAGAGTTTTTGCCTGGGGATCCTGGGGGAGAGTTGCCTAGTCCCTGAGACCTTGTGTCATTTGTCTCCAGTGCACATAGGCATCGACACTGGTTGACTTTTGTCTGCCCCTCTCCCTCTTGCCTCACATAGTGGCCGCTGCCCCACCAGAGGCCTCTGGCCTTCTGTCAGGCTGAACTCCTTGAACACTTTCTCCTGTCCCCTGCTTCTGTTTGCCATTGCTGTCCTCCTCCCTCCTCATGTCTCTTTCTGTGCTTCTGAATGATTGGCCAGCATACACTGTCCCAGAGTGAGGAGGACGTGGGGACATAAATGCTCAGTCTCTCTCCTGGCGCCACTGAGAGTATATGTGTTCTGATGGGAAAGACCTGTAACAGGACAAGTTTTTCATGGGGAATGCTGCATTTTCTTGCCAACACAGGCAAAAGAGGGCTTTTTGGTTTTTTGAAGACTTGATTTTTTTGTTTCGTTCTTACTAGGGATTTGCAGCACTTCTTGCTGAAGCAGTTACTTCTCTCAATCTGCCGGTGGAAGTTATTAATCTGAAAGAGTACGATCCAGATGATCATCTGACGGAAGAGGTTGGTCATTGTCTTACTGTTGTGTTTAATTACGACTGAAATTTAATCAACCTTCTGACATCTGGATGAAATAGAATGAATATTCAGAATAAATTAAATTTCTTGCTCAGGGATCTCAGAGGGTTGAACCGCAGTAGGAATGAGAAGTGTTGAATGAGTGACGTGTCTGTCACACTGGGTGTGGGGCTTGGGCCTGTTCCTGCAGGTGTTAGCTTCTACTGGGGTGCAGTACGTGTTGCCCTGTTTTGGAATCTCACTGTGGAGGAAGGTTGCTGCTGGTTGCTGTGTGCCCTGATGAGGACGGTGCACAGGCTGACCAAAAAGTCAGGAGCGCAGAGTTTGCAGGATAGAGGTCTCTTTGTTGTGTGACTTCAGCCTATGACTTAGCGTCTGTGAGGGTTTCCCTGATTCACCTGGAAAATCCACTCCCTCCCATCCACTTAGGCCTGGTGAGCAAGTTTTGCCTTTCAGCAGTGCTTCTCATGGTGTGGTCCCTAACCCAGCAGCAGTGGTGTCTCCCACTGCCTTGTTAGAAATGCAGATTCTCAGGTCTCAGACTAGCCCTGCTTAATCAATTCCTGTTCTTGGGGTTTCTTTGTTTTCCATTTCTGGGGAGTGATGCCAGGGCCTTCATATGGAACTACATCCCCAGCTCTTTTAAAATTTGAGACAGGAAAAAGAAAAAATGTTTTGAGACAGGGTCTCATTAAATTGCCCAGACTGAGTGTGAACTTGTGATCCTCCTGCCTCAGGCTTCCAGGGTGCTGGAATTACAGGTATATACCACTATTCCTGGCTGTGGGGCTTATTTTTAACAAATGCTCCATGTGATTGTGATGCAGATTTTGGAGAAACAGTTACTCGGGAGTCCAAAAGTTTTCTAAAAGGGCTAGGCACTGAGTATCTTTAGTTTTCTGGGCCATGTAGCTACCGTCAAGGCACAAAATAGCCATAGAGAAAAACAAGGGTGTGTGGCTGAGTTCCAGGGAAACTTTGCTTTAAAAACAAACAGCAAAATCCATCCTTGGGGGCACGAGTCCTACCTACTAAACAGGTTAAAATGGACTTGGGCACAGTGGGACAAATCTGTATCCCAGCACTCTGGGAGGCCAAGGCAGGAGGATCGCAAGTTTGAGTTCAGCCTGGGAAACTTGGGGACTCGCTGAGAACCTGTCTCAGGATAAAGAGGAAGGACTGGGGATGCAACTCAGTGCCAAGGTCCTTGGTTAAAACCCCAGTACTACCCCACCCCAGAGGCTGAGATTGGGAGGTTTGCTTGAGCCCAGGAGCCCAGCTAAGCAACATGAGCAGCATAGACCCTGTCTCCAAGACAAGCAAGAAAGCAAACAAGAACAAAACAGATTTGTCCATGAGTTATAGTCTGTCTTTTTGCCAGTCCTTTTATAAACGTGTAGCTGCAGTTCTGTCCCTTTCTTTCTTCCTCCAAGAAAACATGGGTGTACAAATGAGTGTGCTTAAACATGCTATAAATAATAATGTGTATGTATGTGTAGATACATCCCCCCCCCCAGTACTTTACTCTGAGGTATAGCCCCAGCCTTTTTTTTTTTTTTTTTTATTTTTGAGACAAGGTCTCACTAAATTGTTCAGGCTGGGCTCAAATTGAGATCCTCCTGCTGCAGCTTCCTAGAGTGCTGGGATTACAGATGTGTACTACCATGTCCAGCTTTGTAAATACAGTGGTACCTTGGTTCACGAACTCCATTCTTTCCTTGTTGCTGGTCACAAACTGAGTTAGATGAGAACTGAATAAAACTCAGAGATTAGATTCAGTGTTGACTTTATGGGGAAATCTGATTTGGTTCTTGTCCAGTTCAGTTTGGCATCCGAAGTGTGGAGTGAATTGAGTCTGTGAACTGAGATACCATTGTAATTTATGAAAATTAACTAGCAAAGGTGGATAATTATAAGAGTCACTTCATGACTCTTACTCTGTGAAAATGCACTCAGGGTGACTTTCCACTGGACTAGCAGGACTGAGGATGTTGTTATTTTGCATTGAGAGTTAATTTTCTTTGCATTTAAATCCTTTTTTCTTTTTCTTTGGGTGTGGAAACTCTGGGCTAAGCATGTGCTGTACCCCTGAGCTTTGCCCCAGCCCCTTACATTTAAACATTTTTTTGCATTACTTTTTCAAGTCCTTTTTCAGGAGCCTTTCTGTATTTTTCCCCTGACTGTTTGGGATCTTTATTTTTAGTATGATCAAATGGAGATGATAGGAAGTTGTAGTCCACAAAGTGGAGGAGTCTGTGCAGAAGGCCCCTGGGAGATACCTGGGCAGGAGAAGGGGGTACATGTTCCACATTTTCTTCCCTGTCCAAGGCCAGGGCACTGTGTTTCTTTCCCTGTGACAATGAGTTATGTTAATGAAAGTGCCCTTTTAGCATGGCATGAGAGTCTGCTTTTTAAGAAAAGCTTTGCTTCATTACAAGTAATTTATTTCTTGAGTGCGCTTGATAATTTGTATGTGTAATAGCCTTGTGAAGTGGTCACTGTCTCTGTTAGATTGCCAGTCAAAATGTCTGTGCCTTCCTGGTTGCTACGTACACCGATGGGCGCCCACCGGAGAGTGCGGAGTGGTTCTGCAGGTGGCTGGAGGATGCGGCCAGTGACTTCCGGTTCAGCAAAACTTACCTGAAGGGTATGAGATATGCGGTGTTTGGCCTGGGAAATTCTGCCTATCTAAGCCACTTCAACAAGGTTAGTATATGTTGAATGACAGGGACAAATTCTACCTTAATAAAAAAAAACAAAAAATACAAACATGTATGTGTATTTGAAATCTACAAAGTTTGTTAGTTAATAACAAATTTCTTGGCTTACTCTTTTTTTCTTCATTATTCTGGGGATTGAACCCAGCCAGGGTCCTTGCACTGAGTTACGTTCCTGTTCCTTTAAAATTTTGTTTTTGTTTTTGTTTTGTTTTTTTTGGTTATTTGAGACAGGGTCTCACTATGTAGTTGATACTGACTTGGAACTCACTATGTAGCCTAGGCTGGTCTCGAACTCACAGTGATCCTCCTGCCTCAGCCTCCTGAGTGCTGGGATTATAGGCATGTTCCACTATGCCTGGCTAAAAGTTTTTTTAAATTTTAAAATAAAGGCTCCATAAGTTGCTAAGTAGACCAGGCTTGGTTTATACTTACCATCCTCTTGCCTCAGCCTCCCAGAGGGCTAGGATTATGGACATGTAACACCATGCCTGGCTCTTGTGTTACTCTATAGCTGCCACCTGCTGCAGGTGCCCAAGCTTGAGGCAGAGTGGGCTTTCAATACATTTCTGTTATACAGTGAATACAAGTGTGCTCCTTATTGTCCATTGTCTTAGTGGGAGACTCTTGGTATCAAGTCCAGCCTCCTGTCCCTGGGCAGAACCTTGTAGATGGAAGGTCACTGTGTCTTTGGGCTTTGTCACCTGCCTATCGTTTCATAAAATAAATGTTACTGCCCAAATTCCTTTTTTTTTTTGTCTTGTCTCTTTTTTTGTGGTACTGGGGATTGAACCCAGGGCCTTCACACCGAGTTTTACACTAGCCCTTTGTTTTTTATTTTTGTATTTTGAGACAGGGTCTTGCTATGTTGCTAGGCAGCTCACACTGGGCTCAAACTTGCGATCCTCATGTGTCAGCCTCCCAGAGTCCTGGGATTAGAAGCATGTGTTACCATGCCTGCCCTGAGCTAAGTCTTAATACAGCTGAACTCATTTTCTTTAAATCATTTTTAAAGGAGAATAAAAGAAAAACATTCATCATCCTTTATGTAATAAAATGAGGTATTTTTGTTTGTTTTCTTGGGTCATTTTTCTAAATGAAATGACTTGATTCCTATTTTTTTTTTTTATATCCTGTCCTCTATACTTTAAAAAATAAAACCATTGCCTGGGATTTAGCTCAGTGGTGCTTTGCCTGCTTGGCAAGTACAAGGTCCATAGTTTGATCCCTGGTACCAGGAAAAAAAAAAAAAAAAAAAAAAGTAAGACCATGGAGCATCCTATTATTTTCATGTTTCTAAGAGGTCACCAGAAGTTTAGCTTGTGCACAGCTCCCTGGAGCGGGGCTGCTGGGCTTGCCTGTCTTGGGTGGAGTGTGAGAGATGACAGGCAGCTTTCTTTAATTAGATTTTTATGTAGTTGTCATATCACAGTGTAGATTTCCCCTCATAGTTTCAAAGGAATTAGACTAAGAATGAGAAATTTGGATTGCTGAGTGTTTTCTGTTAGGGCCTGTCCCTCAGGAAGCCTGCTAAGCTTTTGCATCTGACTCCTGTTCCTGTTGAACCCTGTCTCTCAGCTTAATTGCCACCTTACAATGAAATACATTCTTGAGTTTATGGAAATGTAGGTCTGGCCAGCCTGGTTGAGTTATACTTTACTAGTAAATGGGCTTTAGTCCCATAGGTTTTGCTACATTTTTGGAATCAATTAATTTTGTTAATGAGTATTTTGTTCTGACCATGATTTAGAGTGGTCATTTTCAGTTTCTTTCTTGGCCATTAGCCCTTTGTCTGCTTAGAGTCTATTTGTCTCTTTGCTGCGGAAAGTTAGAATGTGGAAAATGCAGCCCTTTATTGTGGCCTGAGGAGCACTTTCCAGGGCTTCAGGTGTTGCTGCCACCTGGGCCCCAGAGTCCCCTTGGGCTGGTGCAGAGCAGTCTGCAGCCCGATTTCGGGGATTGTGACTCTGGGCGCACCTGGCCCTCTGTCCTGCAGGTTGGCAAAAGCGTGGACAAGTGGCTCTGGATGCTCGGAGCGCGCCGCGTGCTAGCTCGAGGGGAGGGCGACTGCGACGTGGTCAGAAGCAAGCATGGCAGCATTGAAGCCGACTTCATGGCCTGGAAGGCCAAGTTCATCTCCCGGCTTCAGGTGCTTGAGAAAGGAGAGAACAAATCCTGTGGTAGTCACTGTAAGAAAGGCAAGTGTGAGTCCAAGTCGCCTGGCTCGGAGGAGGAGACAGAGCCGGGGTCGCACCCTCAACATGGATCGCAGCCCAGAGACCCTGAGGTGGGTAGCCTGTGCTCACTTCTCACCACTTTGTTCCTGGGTGTGGACAGAGGCCCTGCCTCTGCCCCGAAAAGCCCCGGCCTGGGCCTTGGGCTGGGAGGAAGGTCTGGAACTTGGTGCTGGGGTCTTAGAGGGAGTAAAGCTGCATTTTCCTAGGTGTTCTTCTGTGTTGCTTCTTTAACTGCTGCATTGCTAGACTTGGCGATATGTTTACCACATTTCTCAGGTAAGAAAGGGAGGCCTAGAGAAGTTAATTGTTCCAGACGGAGCCCCTGTCCTATCAGCCCCAGGTGTCATCTCCCTGAGTGATTTCCATTTGTCACTTGGACCAAAGGCTGCAAGTCCTTGTGGATTCCTCTCTCTTCCTCACCTCCTAAACATCTCAGCCTTCTTCACATGCCCCGGTTCCTTTGAAACTCAGGTCTTCAGGCCACCTCGGTGCCGCTGGCTTCTCAGCTGTTAGCTTTGGCCACCTGATCACTGTGCCAGTCATGGGGGACTTCCAGTTCTGGCTCATTGTCTTTCACCAACTTTATTCCTGTTGTTATTCTCTGTGGCTCACATATCCATGTAAATGCTTTAACCATCACCCTGGCCTGACAGTTTCCGGGCCTTCATGCTGCCAGGAACCATTTTTGTCACCAGCCTTGGCGTCTGTCTCCCTTCTAGGGTGAGCGCTGAGATTCAAGTTCTGGTGGCCCTTACGCTGACCTTGCTCTGGGCCTCCACTTCACAGTTCTTTGATCCCATTTGATCTCATTTTCTTTTTCACTAGATACTGGGCACTGACTGCTTTCTTTACTTCCTTCTTTAAACGCAGTTTAGATTTTTTTTCTCTCTTTCATGAACACCTCCTGGTTCCAATGGCTTTGGCCTCTCCTCTCTTCCAGCCAACTGCTGTGTGCTTCATCTCCACAGCCTTGGCCCCCTCTCACGCTCCCAGATGTCTGCTCACACCTTCTTTCTCTCTCCCCTTCCTCTACGTCTTGTTTGAAGCCATTCCAGGCACCAGTGTGCCCACCTGTCTGCCAAACTTCCCCATCTTCCCTGTCCTCTGTCCCAAGACTGGCTGTCTGGGTCCTGTCTGCCCAGCCCTGGCATCAGGTCTTGGTTGCTTCTGTTTACTGCAGCCCTTTCCTGTACCATCAGTGGCTCCCTGCCCACGAGGCTCTACCCATACATAGATAAAGTGGAGTCACTTATGTTTAAACAAACAAGGAAGAAAAAGAAATCCTTGTTCCACATATTTAGTGGCGGATTTGTTTGTCTACTCTTTTTTTCTAGCCAGTGTAGAAAACTTTTTTTATTGAAGTAATTTTGCATGGCATAAAATTAACCATTTGAAAGTATGTAGTCCAGTGGTGTTCAGTATGTTCATAATTTTGTGCATTACCATCTATTATCAAGTTCCCAAATCTTTCTATCATCTCAAAAGAAAACCCCCTACTCAGTCATTCTCTGCTTTCCTCCCTGCACTCAGCAGCCCTCAATTTGCTTTATTGTTTGTTAGTTTTTGTCTAATAAATACCAAGGTCTATGCTCCCTGAGGTCAGTGCTTCCATCTGTTTTGTGCAGCTGTAAGGGAGACTGGATAACTCACCAAGAGCTGGAAGTGATACTCCTGACCAGCTCTGGAGGCCGAAGTGCTGGGCCGGCTGGTATCTGGTGCCAAGGGACTTCCTGCTGCCCTCTGCCCTCAGGACCTATGTTCCTCTGAAAAGCCCCTCCTCCAGCACCAGTGTCGTGAGCACTCAGTCCCCAACGTACTTCCCACTGGTGCAGACCATTGTGGCGTCTCCTGTGAATGGCCATATTTTCGGTGTTGGCACGTACTTCATGATTTCTTGGCTGAAGAGTGGAAAATTTGGATGTTATAATGATTAACTCTAGGAATGAGGCTCTTCTCCCTGCAAGATTTGATTTTGTGCTTTTTTTCTGTTTACTTGAAGGCTGCAGCCTGATGAGGGCAGCTTTGGGCCCTGACTTCCCTTAGCCTCTGCTCCTTGTGGTGAGTCCTTGTCCCTCCTCTTCCCTGTGACCTGAGCAGCAGTCAGGAAAGTGTCCCTAGAGTTCCGGTGACTGCCAGCTCCAACTCGCATCACCTGGTATTCCCTTGGTTCATGTTCAGTCTCTTTGGATTCCATATTTTTTGCCAGCTCAGGGGTATTTTTGAAATGAATTTTTAAAATATTATTCAGTCTAGCTTTGCACAGGACAGTTGCCAGATGTGTGATCTGCCACATGGATGGTAACAGAAGTCAGTTAACTCTTTTTTTTTTTTTCCTGGTTTGGGGACAGAACACTGAGTGACATCCCCAGGCTTATTTTAAGACAGGTCTTGCTAAATCCTTAAGTTACCCAGGCTAGGTTTGAACTTGTCATCTTCTCACCTCAGTTCCTGTATTGCTGGGATTACAGGTGTGCACCATCATGCTCAGCTGAGTTCTCTCTTCATTGCGCCATTTCCTCTTTAAAATTTGTACTTGTATATCTAAGACTTCACGAATCCCAAGCATAACTTTTTGTTTCCACCCACCCAGTGTGTTTGTTCTGGTGTTTTCCCTCGCAGTATGTCTATGTCCATCTCCGTTGCTTAAAAGAAGCCTGGACTTGCTTGATTTATTCCTGCGTGTAATTGCTTAGTGAGGCTGATTGGTTATCTGTCTTCCAAAGAGGACTGCCTAGTAGACATGTTCAGCTCGTGAGCCTTACGGGTTCTGTCCCGACTATAGTTCTGCTGCTGGCTCAGGAGCAGCTGCCAACAGTTTGTAAACCAAGGATCTCTCTGAGGTTCCGTTGCAGCTGGCTGGCTTGGCCTGTGGAATCTGCTCACCTCTGGCCTGCATCAGCTCAAATCCCTCCATTCCTCTCCTCCCACCTGTAAGTCCAAGCCATGTTTCTGGAAGTGAGTACGACTTTCAGAGTGTCCATAAAAGCACAAGTCCAAAGCCTGATGGGGTGGCCTGCCCGTGCTGCTTTCGTGGAAGCCACATCTCTTAGCATCCAGTCTGATGTGCATTTCTCTGCCCTTGCCCTGATGTCCGATCTCTTCCTCACCCACACTGGCCTCCTTCATGCTGAAACCTTTGTTGAGTGACAAGCGACTTGGAACATGAGTCTTCTGCTCTGCCTTTCCTCTTCAGTTCGGGCCAGTGTCCTTTCTCCCTTAGGGCACTGCAGGAAGTGGCTCATGACTGTCCCTGTCTGCAATCTTGTCTCCTTCTCTCCACCTTCCCAGGGAGCAGATCTCTCTAGACCACTCAGCAGCTTCTGACTCGCACATCCTGTACAGTGAGACAGACCCTTGGGGCCTGGCCCACACCTTCTGCCCCTGTTGTTTCTGAGGTAGTTCTGAGGGGTTGTAGTTGCCACGTGCCTCTTGCCCCTTCACCTGTAAGGGTGACACGTGTCTTCCCAGCCAGGCCAGCTGATTTATCCTTCACATTTCTCTCAGTGTCATCTCATTATCTTTGGTGGATTCTGAGCCGAGTGATTACAGTCCTTTTTTGAAAGCATTACCATTGTAATAGTCTCCGTTTCCGTGAGTTACTTTTGTGGGATCGGAGTCTTTCCGAGGAGTAGGGAATGTGTCACATTAATTTTCTAACCCTAATGCCTACCATGAATTTGTACTTAACGTTTATTGAAGAGAACTTTTAAGCTTTCCCAAGGTCGCGGAGGCAAGGTAGCAGCAGCTGTGATTACATTCTATGTGGAGATGAAATTGGTTCCTTTGAGAGCCAGTAAATTCCTGATGTGATAGTTTCTGCCAGAAACCCTGAGGTTCTAAGGAGAAGTTACAGAGGAAAGTCTAGGACTTTCAGCAAATCTAGCTCACTGGCCAAATCCAGCCTGCTGCCTATTTTTTAAAATGAAGATTTGGGGAACATAGCCATGTTCACTCATTTATGTCTTGTCACAGCTGCTTTTGTGTTAAAAGTGACAATGCCGCCTGTTTCACACAAAGATTATATATACTGCCACATTGGAAGTACTTACTGCTTGACCCCTTTTTAAAATTTTTAAATTATTTCTTAAATTTTTTTTTTTGTTTTTTTTTTCAGTACTCCAGATTGAACACAGGGACTGCTGAGCTACATCCCCATTCTTTTTTATTTTTCTTTTGGTACTGGGGATGGAATTCTGGTCCTTGTGCTTGCGAGGCAGGCAGCAAAACCACTGAGCCAACTCCCTGGCCCTCTTTTTTATATTCTTAAATTTTGAGACAGGGTCTCGCTTAAGTTGCTCAGAGTAGTCTTAAACTTGTGCTCCTTCTGCCTCAGCCTTCTAAGTAGCTGAGAGTACAGGTCTTACGTCACTGTTTGGCCCTTTACAGAAGAGGTTCACTAAGCTCTGGTCTAGGATAAGATGAGAGACCAGGTGATCCTTCTTGTTTCTTTTGTGTCTCAGATTCTGAAATGTTTTGGAAGTGAAGTAGGAGCAAAGGACACTTTCATTACATTTGTAGGAAAATGAGTATATCAGTAGAGCCTACAGTTTGGCTGGAAACACTGGACTAGAAGAAATAACACACAGACTTTTTTTTGGTGGCCAGGGATTGAACTCAGGCCCTTACGCTTGCAAGGCAGGTGGTAGAACCACTGAGCCAAATTCTCGGCCCTTTTTTTTTTTCTTTTTGAGACAAAGTCTCACTATGTAGTTCACGGTGACCTTGAATTCACTACATAACCCAGGCTGTCCTTGAACTCATGGCAATCCTCCTGCCTCAGCCTCCTTCCCTTCTTCCCCACAGTCCTTCCGTTGCTGGGGATCAAACCCAGGGCTGGACACATGCTAGACAAGTGCTCTACCACTGAGCCGCACCCTCAGCCCACTGATTCTTGCGTTTCTGCCTCATTGGTGTCTTCGTCCCATGCCCTAGGCAGGTGAGGTATTGGTGTTCTCACTCTGGGCCCCACTCACAGTAATGAGTCTGATGGCAAAGACCTAAGATGCCAAAGATCCAGGGTGGTGGTGTTTTTTTTAAAATAAAAAGATAATTATTTGTATTGCCATTCTTTTGGGTGGTTGGGAAAGTACTGGGGAGCCAACCCAGGGCCTTTTTGTTTTATGTTGTGGTCTCACTCAGTCACTAAGTTGTCCAGTTTAGGGTTGGAGTTGCAGTCCTTCCCCTTCAGCCTCCAGAGTGCTGGGATTTCAGGTGTGGTGGAAGTTGAAGTCTTAGGCTCTGTTCTTTTTTTTTGGTACTGGGGAATGAACTGGGGCCCTTGAATTTGCAAGGCAGGCACCTGAACCACTGAGCTAAATCCCCAGCCCTTAGGCTCTGTTCTTAGGGTAGCATGCGAAACCACGTTTGGCTCTAAGTTAGACATTGAAAAGCAGCAAACTCAGTGTGGGAAGCAGTGGAGAGAACGTGCCTCTGTCCCTCGATCAGGGCTTTTCTGAAGCATTTCTTTCCAGGAAGAAGAGCCCTGGGAGAGCTCCAGTGAGGAGGAGTCGGGGCCAGACGAGCACCTGAGCCTAAATTCTGTCGTTGACGTCGAGGATCTTGGCGAAATTATGAATCGCATGAAGAAGGAAAAGGTAACACTGTGTGGGAAATCCACAGCAGGTGATGTTTAGTATTCTGCTTCAGGGGAGTCTGTCTGAGCTCACAGTAGGTTTAATTTCTTTAGCTTCGGTCTGTCCTGAAAGTTTCCTGATTCTTTTTTTTTTGCCATATTTACATGATCTTTATGAAATTCTTTCTTCTCAACTCTGTGAAAAGAGATTCCTAGGAGAATAAGCAGACTTCAGGCCACTGACAAGTAGCCGGCTGCTGAGATTTGCCAGGGACCGCATGATGATGATACATGGTAGGGTTTTTTTTTTTTTCATGGAGATTGGAAGAGATTCTGGTGTCAGTTTGCCTCCTCTTTGTGTATGTAGACTGAGTCCTGTTAGGGCCAGGGAGGCCTGGAAGATTGGGAGGTTTTGGTGTGGGTTCCATGAGCTGAATGTGGGAATGTACAGTGTAGTAAGATTTTATGCAGATGCCAATGACCTGAAGTTGAAATAATTTGTAATATTAAAATTTAAAGTTTCGATGTAAGTATAAGCCTTGGAAAATGAGAATGCCCTAAAGAAAATGATATCAAGTCCATGATGAGCCTTGGAACAAGAATGAAGTAAAACTTCGAAAATCTGGGAAAATCAATGATGAAAACACAGATTCAAAGGAAAGCATTCAGTACGTGGCAGGATATAGTAATGTGAAAACTCAGTAGCCTTTTTGTTTCTAAATAATGGCCAGTTTCCATCTGGGTGGAATAGTGACCTCATATTACAGTAGCCACATAAGATACTGTACCTAATTGCATAAGGATCAGTTAAAAAGAAATGTCCCAAATCTGTATTGGCAAACTTTAATATGTTCCTGAAAGATAGCAAAGTAGACCCAAACAGCATGTGCAGTGAAAAAAAAAAAAAAATATATATATATATATATTTTTTGGTACTGGGATCGCACTCAGGTCCTTGCTCTTGTGAGGCAGGTGCCGAAACCACAGAGCTAAATTCCTGGCCCTACAGTGAATATTAAAAGAAAGAAATTTAGTACAGTAAAAGACACACTGCCATTAATCTCCCTCAAAATATTCTCCCTCACTTTGAGCACACTAATCCTATTGTTCTTCCCACTTTCTGAAGCAGATCTGGAAGCCCTCTTTTGCCCACTTTTTACCAAATGTGGTGGGAAATCTGGTGCATGCCACCCAGTGGGGAGGCAGGCTTGTGAAAACGTGAGGCTGTGTGCTCAGGCACTGTACTCATTGGACTGGCACCATTCGACGTCCAGCTTTTCAAAGTTGGCGTGACCACGACAGGGAGATGTTTTCGATTGGGTCTGAACACAGCAGGAGCCACAGCAGTGGCATGCAAGACATAAAAGCACTTCGAGAACTGCTTTGTAGAGTGTGGCAAGGATAAAATAAAAACAGCAGTCCTCGTACAGTGAGAGGAGACTGTTTCCGGGTGGTAGGCACAGGAGGCGTGTTGTAGTCCCCACAGTCGGGATTGATTTAAGCAGGGCTCTGGACGAAGTGTCTTCAGGGAAGCAGATGTAAATACACACAGTGTCTCAAATTAGCATCCCAGAAAGTTAACCACCTAGAAATGACAAAAATAAGTGGGTGAATACCCTGAGACCTAGATTACTTACTAATTACAAAGGGGAAAATGTTGATAAATTGTGATTCCCACATACACCAAGCAGTCAGGTCTAGCATAATTACCAATAGTAAAACCTCACCTTATGGAAGAGGAGCTGCTGAGGCAGGAGGATTGCTTGACCCAGGAGTTCAAGATCAGCCTGAGCAACACAGCAGGACCTCCTCTTATCCCAGGCTGGCCTTGAACTTGCAGTGATCCTCCTGCCTCAGCCTCCTGAGTGCTGGGATTACAGACATGTGCCACAATGACTGGCTACTTTTTTTTTTTTAATTGGTAAAACTGTGTCAAAATGGGTGTAATTTTATGGCTCTTAATGGAATATGTGAGTACTGTAATATTCATTAGTGAAAGTGTGTTACAGTGGTGAATCAGGTAGCTGATTTAAACAGCTTTACTGTGTTTGTAGTGAGGAATCTGGGGTAACTCCCATGTATTTTTTAATTTGATTTTTCATCTCATGGCCACGAGAGGGCACTAGAGAAAGCACTGATGAAAATTTTGGCGATCCAACTCTTTTTTTTGAAATCAAATGATTTCAGACTTCATGAGTTTCAAGCAGCCACTTTATGACATCTTAGCTTCCTAATAAAAATCTCATAAAATATCCTCAGATCTGGAGGAAGATAAGCGTTTTTTTCTAACTTTAGTAGGGCATGGAAATAAGCTACCAGTTTTGGTTTTTCATCATTGTTAGGTTGCAGCAGAATTTTCAAATATGTTTATTTACATTTCATATTTGATATAGTATACTGAACTTTGTGACAGAATTGGTTTTTCTTTTCTTTTTTTTCTTTTGGTGCAGCACTAGGGATTGAACCCAGGGCCTCACACTAAACTATACCCCACCTGTATTTTTTGTTTTTGGAGACAGGGTCTCACTAAGTTGCTAAATTGCACAAGCTGAGCTCAGACTTGCATTGCTCTTGCCTCAGCCTCTCAGTGTGCTAGGATTACAGGTTTGTGCTGTCACACTTGGCTTGTCATGAAAGGTTTTTACTGTTTGACTTTTCTTTTTCTCCTTCAGTTTTGTCTTTTTTTTTTTTCATTCTCTTTGGGGCCACTTCACAGATATTCTCAAACTGCCTTCTGTGTGGTCATCACTCCCTATGGGGTTGAAGTGTCTTGCTCCTTACCATGGAGGGAGGCAGCCTACCCCCTGCCTAGGAGCTTGGGCTGGACAGCTGGGCCAGAGCCCTCACTGTAGGGGCTCTGAACAATGCAAACCACCCCGGTCCTCTTGTCTCAGCTTGTGTCTCTGTGGGCAGCCCTTCATACCTCCATGCTTTTGTTTTCTCATTCGTAATGTTGGCGTTAACAGTGTCTCCTTATAAAGCTGTTATGAAGATTAAATAAAAGAACCCATACACATAGTATGTGTTTGACAACTAGGTGCTGTTATATAAGAAAATGTCTTCAAGTAGGTAGATTTGCTGTGCCTGGAGCACCGCCTGGTTTTGTCGTCTTCTGGGAATGTCTGAGATAGTAGTGCCAGGGCTGTGGAAAATCGAAAGGAAAGTAGTTTCCAGGAAGCGGAGGATTAAAATTTGGAACACTGGGGAGTTGGAGGCAGATGTAGATGTGAGGGGTGAGGGCGAGGGAGCACGGGGAGGGCCGGGTATGGGGAGAGGGGACGGGAAGAGGCAGGACCAGGATCCTGGGCCTCCTGACCTACAATGGAGGTCTAGCTCCACCTTGCATGTGTCAGGAGGCACTGCGGTTTGGATGAATGGAAAGCTCCTGGGCAGTGTGGGGACCCATGACAGTTCCAGTCCAGGCCTAAACTACAGTGTCAGGAGAAATCACTGCACACATGGAACGGTCTCAGTCCGCCAGATCTTTCGATATCTGGGTTGTCATTTCTGTTTCGCCATCTCACAGTTAAGCTTTACCTGAGGCTTCTGGAGGGAGCCATGTGCCCAGAGTTAGGAGGTTGCTAAGTGATGGATTCAAGCTGGGAACCTACTCTCAAGTCATGGGCCTCTGCTGCCCTCCAGGGTAGAGGGGACTCCTGGTGGGGAAGAACCTGGAGCGTTTAGGGATCAGGAAGAGCATGACAGTTGTTTCCCTGTTGTGATTTGTAAATGTAAAGCCTACTGTTTCTTTTTCTTTCTGCACTAAGCAAGCTGTTGCTGAATTCTCCCTACAGTATGTTCTGGTTGAGCAGACAAACAGCAGCATCAGTATCGTTCATTTTGGAAATAAATGGCAAATGCTTACTAATTACCCAGCAGAGAAACATTCTGAGTTGACCAGCTATTTAGGGAAGCATGTCCAGTTCTGATTATACAGCACGTTGGTCCCGCAGTGGGATAAGATGAAGTTACTTAGGACTTTTTAAGGTGCTGGGTGTGGAACGCACCCAGAAACAGAAGATGGTGTGCTGCCTTTAGCTGTGCAGGCAGGAGCACTTAGAGGTGGGTTCTGAAATCATTTCCTTAAGTCAGATGTCCAGAATACACTCTCTGGCAGAGTGAAGCTCTTGACACACCTGGTCAGATGACTTTTGTACAAGTTCAGAGAGCATCTTTAAAACCCAGTACATGCACAAAGCTTTGAAACTTGATGAAAATCGGTCATTTTGAAGTGCAGCTATGGCAAGTGAGTGGTTGGCTGGGGATTTATTAAAGAAATAGGGACCTGAGGACATGGGGTTAAATTGTACCAGGAGTTTTGGCTAAAGTAAAACTTTATATATGTAGAAGAATTTTGTTTATTTGTATGTATTTATTTATTTTTCAATTTTGAGAATGGATCTTGCCATGTTGCCTGAGCTGGCTTTGAACTTGGCAAGCCTCCTGCCTCAGCCTCCTGAGTGGCTAGGATTACAAGTATGCACCACTATGCTTGGTGAGACAGAGTTTTTAATAATGAAAGTTGCAAGATCTAGAATCAACTACTGGAGGCTGCTAAGTGATGGCTTCAAGCTGGGACCCCACTGGAGGTTAGAAATAACTGTCTGGTGGTGTTGAGACCTTTAGTTACACATTGGATGCCCACACTGTGTTGCCCTGGGCAGGCTGGCTCTGGGGAAGCTGAGGGTGCTATTTCAAAGTCTTCTGTCTGACTGAGGAGGAAGGGAGCGACCTGATGATACAAAGGATCAGTAAAACAGCCAGCAAGACTTTCCCCAAAGAAATGAATGCCTTGGCAGCGAAAAGCTGTGTTCCACACCACCTGTTCCACAGAAGACTTTTTCCCGTAAAGTCTGTAACAAAACAAACACCTTTTTGAGCTTGTTTTAGTTGTTGGCAAACTTGGGATAGTACTGTGGGATAGTACTGTGGACGATGGTGGAGATTAAATTGTTGGATGGTACAGTATTCTCCGATAGTTTAAAAAGTTCTCACCAGTTTTCCTCCTGTTGCAGCAGAGTCACTTGATGAGTGCTTTCCCCTCACTCATAGTCATCTTCCAAGCACTTCACTTCCCCTGGGCTTCCCTTTGGCAGCTTGGAGAGGACCTGAGTTCTGATTCAACGCCACCAGGCAGGGTGGGAAGGGCGGAAGTAGCGGAGGGACACAGGCACAGCAGCTAGTCTGATGTCCCCGCCGTCACCCCTCAGGTGAAACCAAGGCGAGGAGAAGGGGACGGAGAGGGTGAGGCGTGGGTTGCGGTCACTCTGAACTGGAAGCCAGGTCGGCGGCCTCCGGCGTGTTCATCTTCTTTTTTTTTTTGTACGGGGGATCGAACTCGGGTCCTCGCAGGCAGCCGAACCACTGAGCTAAATCCCCAGCCCGTGTTCATCTCCTTCTGCCCAGGCCTTTACTGCCTGGGGATGATGAGCCCCATGCAGTCACCATAGTGGTGGCTTCCCGGCCTCAGGAGGGCCATGCTGGAGATTAGATTTGAATTTGAACGGTGAGTCCAGCTTTCTTGGGGCCATTTGTGCTTTCAGAAGGGAGTTAGTTCCTGCTGCTCTGGGGAGACAGGCCAAGCTGCAGGGGAAGGAGTGATGGATGCGGCTTACCATGCTGGGCCTGCATTCTGGGCTCTGGGATTGAGCCTGGGTTCGCTGTGCACCTACTTCTCACCAGGGGGTTTCCCCAGTGGTGGCTCAGGCTGGCGTGGTGTGGCCGACCTCGCAGCATTCGCTTCCCAGGCATCAGAGGTTTCCGCGTGACCCACAAGTGGGTGTCTCTGGGCACGGTGGTCAGGGCCTCTTTCATGGGCTGGGTCCGGTTTGGGATTTATGTGACCCATATGGTAAGCAGGCGACTGGCCTTGTTTTGTGCTGGCAGAGGCTCTGGGGGCCAGACTCTGCCACCAGGATGCGGGGACAGTAACTTGCTCACTTACTTCACAGGCACTGGTGCCCTGGGCTCAAGGGGAGTGCGCTTTACTGTCCCACAGGACTTTCTGTTTAGGCTCACACCTTTGCTTTTAGGGCTGAAAAATTTTTTTTTCAACAAAGCCAAAGAATTTCTTCCATTTTAAAGCATTTAAAAAAAATAACTGGCCGGGCGTGGTAGCGCATGCCTGTAATCCCAGCACTCAGGAGGCTGAGGCAGGAGGATTGCTGTGAGTTTGAGACCAGCCTGGGCTACATAGTGAGTTCCAGGTCAGTTTCAACTACATAGTGAGACCCTGTTGCAAAAAACAAAACAAAGCAAAACAAAACAAAAATAATAACTGATATGGTGGTGCACATCTGTAGTCACAGAACTCTGGGAGGCTGAGGCAAGAGGATGGCATGATTGAGCCCAGCTTCGGCAACTTGGTGACTTGGTAAGACTGTCTCAAAAAAAAAAAAATCTATAAACAGGCTGGGGAGGTAGCGCAGTGTGAAGGCCCTGGGTTCAATTCCCAGTGCCAGAAAATGAAAATCAGAAACCAAAAAGTTGAAGGCTTTTTATTTCTATAAAATATATAGCACTAGCTTGATGATGATGATGATGATGAAGAAGATGATGATGATGATGATGATGATGATGATTTTTGGTACCTGGGATTGAACTCAGGACCTTGCTCTTGTGAGGCAGGTGATGGCACCACTGAGCTAAATCCCCAGTCTAGCTTGATTATTTTTATAATCAGTAAGAACAAATTATTGCTCCTTATAGTTTTTCAGTTCCATCTGGACATGTGTAGTTAAAAGTACTGTTAAGAGGAGTGAATTACTCATTCGCTTTGCGTTTGGATGTTTAGTAATTTGGAATGCTGCCTTTTGTGACAGATAGAACTTAATTTGGGTTTACATTTCTCGTTTGGTGCCTTTGACTCTTTAAAGTGCTTTTTATTGACTTTTAGAGAAAGTCCCCCAACTAACAGAGAAACTAGAGAAATTCCAAATTTCAGTGGTTTACATTCTGTGCGTGTGCTATTTTAAAAAGTCTCACTCTCGTCTTACATTTCATGTGTGGAGACTTGGAATCGTCACAAAGGTGGTCAGCATGACTGAATCCCATCTCGTATGGCCTGACCTCCACAACCAGGCCTCAGCCTGTGGCCACGCTCCCCAGCCGCCTTTCATGCACCCCTTCCCTTCTGGATGGTTGGACATTGAAATGTACGCACGTTTGTCACCCCAGCACTCTGGGAGGCTGAGGCAAGAGATCACTAGTTTGAGCCCATCCTGGGCCATTTAGCTACTTTGTGAGGCCTTGCCTCAACATTAGAAAAAGGACTGGGTGTGGATTAGTGTGAAGGCCTTGAGTCCAAGCCCCAGTGCCTGGAGGAGGGAGGGAGGGAGGGAGACAGGCTCTGAGGGCCCTTGGGGCTTGGTGGCAGGGGCGTTAGTTTGGGTCTCTGCAGTTCTTAGGATTTGGTATGTGTCTTCTCTCCCATATCACTCAGACTGTGGGTGTTCTCTCCAAGATGATATTCCCTGCCTTCTTTCATAAGATGTTGGGATAGTGTGAACACTGGAAGAGAGAGGAAGGGATCATGGGAAGGGCGAATGAGGGTCACCTTTAATGAAGCTCAGTAGAGCAAGGTGGAGCCGTTATCAAGTGTGCTGATGAATTCTAAGCCAAAGTCAAAAGTAAAAACATTCGGTTTTTATAATATCCAGATTTCTTAAACATCTCTTTTACTTTCACTGAAGAGAAATTTTCCCCTTGGGATTTTTTTTTTTTTTTTTTTTTTTTAAAGTACGGATTGAACCCAGGACCTTCTCATTGAGGTACATGACCAGCTCTTTTTTTAAAAAAATTTATTTTATTGAGAAGCAAGGTCTTGGTAAGTCTCTAAACTGCCCAAGCTGGGCTTGAACTTGTGATCTTCTGCCTCAGCCTCCCGGAGTGCTGGGTTTACTGGTGTGAGCCACTTCTGAAAGGGCCCCTCGGGTGGCTTGTCTGAGAAGGTGGTTGACTAGGCTGCTCTGAGCAGGATTGCCCTTGTCTTTGGTCCTCGCCGGAGTAATTCCTGGTAGTACCTGTAATTTATTGAATGTGTGTTATTGTGCCAGGTTGAATTGATTTTATTTAATTTTCAACACATTCCTGCTCCAGAGACACTTTTCATTTCATTCCTTTTTTCAAGTAAAGAAATTAAAATTCAGAGAAAATAAGTACTTTGCCCAAGTTAGGCAGCTGTCTGTAGTCAGTGTTAAAAAGGTTTGATCCTTAGAGAATGAAGTTTAGATTTATGTTTTGTGGGCCTGTGGGTTTCATTCTTTAAAAAAGCGATCATTGTGTACCTTAGAAATGTGGTCGATTTTTGGAGGATGGGACTTAGGGCACGGTTCACAAGCATCCTTTTTATCAGTCCTAGGTGTGCTCCATTGCTGGGATGTCATTTTCATTGCACATTAGCAATTCTGGGTTTCATGCTCCTTATTTTAATGCAGAGAGAAAAGGATCACCGGGAAGGAAACACTAGTTTGTTCAGGAACACAGGGAAGAGTGATGGCAGTGAGGGAAGAGCGATGATAACGCCTGCTCTCCGAGAAGCCCTTGTGAAACAAGGTGAGAAGCCCTGAGGATTGGTGCTGTAGCACTGTGCTCCTAAGCTAGTTGGCTAGTTGCTTTCTTCCCTCCCTCCTTCCTCCCTTTTTTTCCTTTTCTTCCATCCTTCTCCCTCCATCCCTCCCTTCCTGTGTTTCTTTTCTCTCTCTTCTCTGTTTTCTGTGGTGCTGGTGATTGAACCCTGGGCTTTCACACTGACCTACATCCCCAGCTTTATTCTTATTTTCTCATCTTCTGAGACCAGGTATCACTAAGTTGCCTAGGTCAAACTTGCAGTCCTCCTGCCTCAGCCTCCCAGAGTGCTAGGCTATGCCACCAGCTCTCCCAAGCATTCTAATTTAATGTCACAAGAGAGGAAACATAAACTAGGGCTTGTCAAGAGGAGAAGAGGCAAGTCTCGAGTTGGCACAGCCGTGGCAGTGGCATGCTGGCTCCCTGAAGGCTCAGCCTCCTGCCTCTGTGGTCACTGAGCGGGCTGCCTGGCCCCGCACATCTTCCTTTTCCTTGTCGGTGTGGCTCTGGTGTGCAGATAGAAAGTGCTGCTCATCACTGGCTCTTTACCAAATACTTTTTATTAAGGGGAGACTATGAAGTGGAAGAAGTCTATGTGACACAAGCCTGAGCTAATGAAAGTGTTTCATGTAGGAAGGGTCACATCTGGAGTTTGGGGTCATGCTGCATTGAGGGTGTAGTTGAGTAGCAGAAAGAGTGGTGCATCGGGAGTCAGGAGGCCGACAGCTCCCCTGTATCTTTGAGGGATCTTTTATGTGACACTTCTGGAGCACAGAGAAACCAGGACACAGAATCTACTCCCAGGAGCTGTCCGTCTGGTAGAGGACGCACACTGACATTTCTGTAATTTGCGTGTTCATTGCGGTGGAGTGTGTTAGGTGATTTTATGGTAGACTTGAACCTACATTTTGCTGTTTGCTTTCTACCTACTTCTTTTGTTTTTCTGTCATTTTAAAAGATGAATTGGATGTTTCCCTTATGATTCTATTTTAGATCTCTCTTAACTTATTAGCTATAACACCTTTGTTAGGCAGTGGTTGCTTGAGGTCTTATGTCACACCTCTTTATCATACATAGTTTATCTTTGAATGGTAAGGGTTTAGTAGTGCAAATCTGAAAATTTGAAATCCAAAATCACAAACTTTGTGAGTACCAGCATGACCAAACCAGTGGAAGATTCACACCTAAAAAAATTACACAAAATTACATTCAGGCTATGTGTGTAGGCATCTATGAATTTGGTGTTTATACTTGGCTCTTGTCCTCAGTTATATCTATAAAAATATTCCCAAATAAAAAATATGGAATCCAAACACTTCAGCTCCCAAGGATTCTCAGCCTGTCAAAGATCACTTTATATATATATATTAGGAGAAACTATAGCTGGGTGTGGTGGCACACACCTGTAATCCCAGCACTTGGGAGGCTGAGGCAGGAGGATCACTGTGAGTTTGAGACCAGCCTGCACTGCACAGTGATTTCCAGAGCAGTCTGAACTACATAGTGAGACCCTGTCTCAAAAAACCAAAAAAAGGGAGAAACTGTAGCGAAGTACTTCCATTTTCCCTTCTAAACTTCATACAGTTTTTATTACATATTTTAGTTTACATACATTATGAACCCTACACTACTTTATTGTTGTTTTTGCTTAACTAGCAAGTTGTCTTTTTTTTTTTTTTTTTTGGTACCGGGGATTCAACCTGGGTCCTTGCGCAGCCAGTTGTCTTTTAAGGGTTTACATAAATAGAAAGAGTCTCGGGTCAGGGATAAAGCTCAGTGGCAGAGTGCATGATTGTTATATACCAGGGCCTGAGTTTCCCTGCCACTGACAGATCTGATTTAAATCTTCTGGAAGAAAGAGAGAGTGAGTCTTCTGTCTTTACTCATGTGGGTACCACTTTCCATGCCTTCTTGTAGATCTGTGTTCTATCTAACTTTTTTTGTGTGTGTGTTGCCAGGGACCAAACCCAAGACCTTGTGCGTGTGCTTTACCTCTGGTCTGCACCCCAGCCCCAAAGACAGAGTGTAAATCATTTTTTTGTGTTTTTGTTTTCTGAGTGCTGGGATAGAACCCAGGGCCTCACACTAAACACTTGCTGTACCACTGAGTGGCTGCCCGTCAGACTTCCTTTTATTGCTTTTGGAGAATGTGCGCGTCGGTAAGGAGTGAGTTCACCTCTGTGTATCTGAGAAAGACCTTATTTTGCCTTCATTTTTGTAACATTTTGTATTTTATTTTTTTCCTGAGTGTAGAATTGAAGGCTGCCAGTTTTTTTTTTTTTTTTTAGTTCTTAGAAGGGGTTCCTCCTTCTTCCTCTGGTTCACACTGCTGCAGGGGTGATCGGCCATTCCATTGCCTGATAATTGCCCCTTTTGACTGTCATGCTATTTTTAAGATTTTCCTCTTAATTACTGATTCTGAGCAGTTTGCTTAAACATGTTGAGTTCAACTTCTCTGAAATGCGAAGTGTTTCATATTTTGGAGAGTGTTTGAATTTTGCAATATTTTTGTAGATTTTACCTGTTAACCATCCCTAATCTGAAAAACGAAATCCAAAGTTCTCCCAAATCTGAAACATTTTGAACATCATGTTGGACATGGATTTCAGAGCATTTTTCAGAGAATTTCAGATTTTGGATGTTTGAATTGAAGATACTAAACTGGTCATGTGTCTTAGTGCAGTTTTCTTTCTTTTACTTGCATTTTGTTAAACTTTTTGGTTCCACGGATTTAAAGCTTTCATCAAGGTTAGACTAATTTTGGCTAGTATTTCTTTATGTATTTTTCTTTCTCCCCTCCTGAAGACCTATGCTGACATATATAATAGGCTGCGGGAATTTAATTCAGAGCTTATCTTCAAATTTGGTAATATCTACTTCTCCAGTGTCTAATCTATTTTATTCTAGTTTTCATCTCTAGAAGTTCATTTTGGCTTTAAAAAAAAATCTATATCTTGCTGGGTGTGGTGGTGCATACCACCTATAATCACAGCACTTGGGAAGCTGAAGCAGGAGGATCACCATGAGTTTGACGCCAACCTGTGCTGCATAGTTCAAAACTAGTCTGAATTGCATAGCAAGACTTTGTCTCAGGAGAAAAAAAAATCTATGTCCCTAGTGTTTGTGGAATACAGTTATAACTGTTTCATATGTTAATGTCTGTGTTATTTCTGGATCAATTTTGGTTGCTGGATTACTTTCCACATTACTGGTCATGTTTTCTTACTTATTTGCCTGATAATCTTCAACTGGATCCCAAACTTATTTTGTCTTATAAACTGCTGAATGATTTTGTATAAACAGTCCTGTAAACATTTTTGAGCTTTTTTCTGGGATGAATATAAGTTGCTTGGAAAGAGGTGGAGCTTTGAGACTCATTTTTATGATTTATTAAGTGAGGCCAGACCAGTTCATACAGCTAATTATTCCTCATTACTGAAGCAAAAATATCTCTCTGTTCTCTCCTCTAAGCCTTGTTGATCCCAAGGTTCCAGTCTGGTAGGAACAGGTACAACTCACAACCTGCTGTGAGCACCCAGCACACCTCCAACCCTTTCTGGTCCTTCTTTCCAAGTCTTGGGCAGTTCTTCTCAGCATACTTGCTGATTACTACTCAGGCGAATACTTGATAAGAATCCTGTGCAGACTTTTGAGTCCATCTTGGGGTAGCTTCTTCTCTCTGTTTCTCAGACCTACATCTCTGTGTACCTTGGGCTCCCTGATTCTCAGCCCCATTTCCTCAGTGTAATAAGTGCACTGGGCTTTGTGTCTGGTTCCCCTCCCTGCTTGGGCTTATGTCCTGTTCAAAGACAGGGAGCTGGCAGTGGTGGGACTCACCTTGCTTGTTTCCTATCTCTCTGGAATCAGTGTCCTGTGCTCTCTGATGTTTCATGTCCTGAAACTGTTGTTTGATGGATTTTGTTCACTTTTTGGTGTTTTAGGTGGAGTAGCAAAGCCTGTTACTCTGTCTTGGTTGGAAGCAGAATTCTGCACCACACTTCTCAGTGACTGTGTACTTACTCTTGGGTTATCTCAGCAGGCAGCGTGGTCAGCCACAGATCTCTCTTTCCTGTGACGTGAAGGGTGGCTTTTGTCCACACCTGAATGCAAAATTTTATAAAAACTCTTATCTGAGGAAAGAGATTTAGCTAATTTAATAGAGAGTGATTTCTAAGCCAGTGGTATCAACAATGTAGGAACCCAATAGAAGACCTAGAATTTGCCCTGGTAATCTTCTAAATGCTTATTAATTATTGCATTGGACTCAGTTCCATCTTCAAGTGGATAAGCAGCGCTTTGTTGATATGCATGAAGTGTATACACATACGGAATAGGATAAAAGACAAAGCCCTGTAACTATTGCCGCTGGAGATTTGTAATCCGAATTGACGTTATTCCTTTGATCATCACTTTGTAAATATGCACGTAAACCAGCCACTAATCCACTTTTGCCATCATCCACACTGTATTTCTCCACTTGCTTCATTTCTTTTGTACAAAAAGACTCATGGTAATTGCGGCTTACTGTTTGAAGCCTCGGGAGAAACTTTATTGAATGCTTTCTGAAATCAAAATGTTTAAAAACGAAATGAGATGATTTTGGCATAGCTTTTGCCATCTGTTTCATGTCTTATAGAGTCTAGAGTTTTTAAATGTTAGCTTGTGGTGTGGTACTGAGAATTTACATGACGTTGCTGTTGCTAGAATTTGATTTTCCCCCTTTTGGGTCAGTAATTTATTGTTTTGATCTCTGTAGCCAGTCTGAATCTTTGTTTTCTTTTCCTAGATCCCCAGTGATAGTGTCCTGGCATTCACTTGAGGTGTATTGTTACTTTGTTTCATGGCCAGCACAAGGTCCATTTTTAAAAATATATTCTTAATTAGTGACTATTAATTGTACAAAAGAATGGGTTTTGTTGTGGTGTTTTCATACATGCATATAACATTTTGATCCTGTGCATCATATTACCCTTATTTACAACCCCTCTTCCAGTCCCTTATTCCTTCCTCTATTCTAATAATAGTCTCCTCTACTTCCGTGTCATCTTTCTTTTGTTAGTCCATCTTAGGGAAAGCACGCAATACTTACCTTTCTGAGTCTGGCATCTTTCCCTTAGCATGATGATCTTCAGTTGTGTACATTTTCCTGAATGACATAATTTCATTCTTCTGTATGACTGACTAGTGCAGTGCATTCATCTATTTATGGCCGTCTAGGCTGGTTCCATATGTTGGTTAAACACGGCTCTCCTGGTATCCCTATAATATCCTTGATTCCTTTGGATCTGTATCAAGAAGTGGTGCAGGAGGGTCATATGGTAGTCTCTTTTTAGTTTTTTAGGAACCTCCATACTGATTTCTATGGTAGCTGGAGTAATTTAGATTTTTACCATTAGTATAGAGGGGTTCTGTCCTCCCCGTTACCAGCATTTAGTATAGCTTTTTTTTTTTTTTTTTTTTTTTTTTTTTTTTTTTTTTTGGTATGCTTGGTGATAACCATTCTGACTGGAGTGAGATTTTTCAATGTAGTTTTGATTTGCATTTCTCTAATGAATGTTGGGCATTTTTTTCATGGACTTCTTGGCTCCTTGTACTTCTGAGAAGTAACTGTTTAATTCAGTTGTCCATTTATTGACTATGCTTTTTTTTTGTGTGTGTGTGTGTGTGGTAAGTTTTTTGAGTTTTTTATATATTCTTCTTACCAATTCTCTGTTGGAAGAGTGGCTAGCAAAGACTTTCTCCCATTCTGTAGGCAGTTTCTTCGGTGTGTTGTTTTCCTTGTTGAACAGAAGTTTTTTAATTGTTGGAGTTCCACTTGGCAGTTCTTGCAATTATTTCCTGTGTTGTTGGGATCTTGTTCAGGAAGTCTTTGTGCCTGTATTTTTTTTTTTTTTTCCCCTCCGTTGCCAGGGATTGAACTCAGGACTGTGAGCTTGCGAGGCAGATGTGGTATCACTGAGCCAAATCCCTGGCCCTGCCTGTGACTATATCTTAAAGTGTCCACCCGTTTCCTTTTAGCAGTTTCAAAGGTTCAGGTCTCATATTTAGATCTTTGAGCCATTCCTGAGCTGACTTTTGTATAGGGTGAGAAATGGTGATCTGGTTTCATTCTTTTCCATGTGGACATCCAGCTTTCCCAGCACCATTTGTCTTTTCTCCAACATATGTTTTTGGCCCCTTTGTCAAGATTCAGATGGCTGTTGCTGTAGCAGTTTCTTTCTGTTTTCTCTGTTCTGTCTGTTTTGATGCCAGTTTCATGCTGTTTTTGTTACTGAGGTTCTGTCGTATATTTTGGAATTGGGTATTATGATCATGATCTCTCCAGCATTTCTTTTTTCTTTTTTTTTGTACCAGGGATTGAACTCACGACCTTATGCTTGTGAGGCAGGCATGGTACCACTGAGCTAAATCCTTGGCCAGCATTTTTCTTTTTGCTCAGGATTGCTTTTGTTATTCTGGGTCTCTTGTGTTTCCATATAAATTTTAGGATTTTTTCCAGTTCTGTGAAGGATGTTGGTATTTTGGTAGGGATTGCATTCTGTAGATTGCTGCTGATAGTATGACTGTTATCTTGCTGATCTGTGAATGCGAGAGCTCTTTCCATCTTCTAGTGTTCCTTTTCATTTCTTTAATGTTCTTAAATTTTCACTGTAGAGGTCTTTCACTTCCTTGGATAGGTTGATTTCTAGGAATTCTTGATTTCTTCCTCATCTAGTTCATAATTGGTGTGTAGAAAAACTATTGATATTTGTGGTTGATTTATATCCTGCTACTTTGCAGAATTTGCTTATTAGATGTAAAAGTCTTTTGCTGGATTCTCTGGATCTTCTGAATATAGGGTCATATCGTCTGCAAGTAGGGATAACTTAATTTCTTGCTTTCCTATTGGTACCCTTCTTCTTTTTCTTTCTCTTGCCTAATTGTGCTGACTAAATTTTGAATACTATATTGAACAGTGAACATCCTTCTCTCATTCCTGATTTTCAAGGATTTGCATTTTTCTCCCTATTCAGTATGATGTTGGCAGTGGATTTGTTGGGTATAGCCTTTATTATGTGGTAGTACGATACTTGTGTACCTGTTTCTTTGGGCTTTTCTTTTTTGGGTACTGGGGATTGAACTCAGGACCTTGCATTTGCGAGGAAGGTACGGTGCCACTGAGCTAAATCCCTGGCCTTCTTTGGGCTTTTTTCATGAAGGGATGTTGAATTTTGTCAAAAGCCTTTTCTGTGTAAATGGAGAGGATCATGTGGTTCTTTTCCTTGATTCTATTTATAAGCTGTATTGCCTTGTTGATTTGCTTATGATGAACCATCCTTCCATCCCTGGGATGTAACGAACTTGATCATGGTGCATGACTTCTTTAATGACTGTCTCTTGTGGCAGGGTGTCCCCAGAGGCCCTGAAGTGAGACTTTCCTGGAACCTCTGACCCCTTGAGCCACTCATTTCCAAACAGTAAGCCCCTTTCCAAACAGTAAGCCCCTCTCCAGACATCTTATGCTTGGACCACTCCAAGGTTTGGTGGGTGCTACTGTGGGTTTTTTCTCCAGGACTAACCTGCCAGGCAAGATGAGCCACTTTCACACTGAATCCCCACAGTGGCATTGCAGCCTGCAGTAACCATAGGTGCCTTCTCTGGCTAGGGCTGCCCATCCTTTGCTGGCACTGGGTCTGCTGCCCTTTCTCGGCTGGCCTTCCCTACAGAATTGGTCCCACCACTGTGGCGATGTAGATTTTTGTCTGCATTGTCTTTCTGTTTTTCTATTTTATTTGGTACCAGTGATCAAATTTAGGACCTTGCGCTTGCAAGGCAGGTGGCAGCACCACTGAACTAAATTCCTGGCCTGTTCGTGTGTGTGTGTGTGTGTGTGTGTGTGTGTGTGTGTGTATTTTTTTTTTTTTTTTTTTACAGAGTCATAGTATGTAGTGCAGGCTGGCCTTGAACTTGGGGTGATCCTCCTGCCTCAGCCTCCGAGGTGCTGAATTTTTAGGTGTGTACCACCATTCAAGGTTCTCCATGCTTTTTTAGCTTTTTTATCACTCCTTTTTCTTACTCTTTTCTCCTCAGGTTGTAGTTTCTCTTTTTAAACTCTTAGCTCTTCTCACTCTCGGATCCCTGCAAAGGTTATTTGTATTCCACCATCTCATCCCAGAAGTCTCGTAGATAATGTGTTCTGTGCAGTGCTCTAGGATTCTCAGTCAAGGTTGTTTTGTGGGGTGCTCAGATCTTTGATAGCTGCTCTGAGTTTCAGCCTATGAGATAAGTTTGATTGGAGAGCTGAAAACCTCCCTGTTTGACTTTGGATTAATTCATTGTTTCTTTTGAGTCTCTGTCATTATATTATACACATAGTTTAAATTGTTTTCTCATCCCAGTGAGTAAAACTGTTACTGTTCTCCACTACTGGGTTGTTTACTGCCATAATTTAAGCAAAAAAATAAATTACTGTGCTAAATTTTACTGTCACTATTTGATACGAGACTTTCATGAGTTCAATTTTGTGTCCTGCCCCTCCAGGTTATCAGCTGATTGGGAGCCACTCTGGGGTGAAGCTTTGCAGGTGGACAAAGGTATTTATTTGGTTTTATTAAAATATTATTTCTATTACATGACATTTTTATGGCTATTATATGGAGACACTAAGTTTACCAGTAAAGGTATAATTTACATTGAATAAAATGAACAAATTTTGGTTGAACTTCTTAGAATGAGTTCAGCAAGTTTGGATGGATGTAGAACCCATATTTGTCATCCCACTTAAGATATAAATTCTTTTCCTGGCCCTTGTGAAATTCCTTTTGCCCATTTCTAGTCATACCTCTCTCTCCCCATGCAGCCATTGTTCTACTTCTGTTATTTCATCTTGCCTTTCTTTTTTTAAAATTTTGTTCTGGGAATCAAACTGGGACCTTGCGCTTGCCAGGTAGGCAGCGGCACCACTGAGCTAAACCCCTGGCCCTCATTTTGCCTTTCTCAGGTCTCATGTGAACAGTGTATGAGATGTGCAGTGTTTGGAAGTGGCTGCCTCGCTTGGCATACTGATCCTGAGATGTGTCCACACTGTGGCACGTATCACAGGCCTACTCTCTGTTTCTGCTTAGTGATATCCCGTTGTATGAATGTGCCAGTTTTAATTTTTTTGGTACTGGGGATTGAATTCGGGCCCTTGCTCTTGCAAGGCAGGTGACAGAACCACTGAGCCAAATCCCCAGCCCTGAATGTGCCAGTTTTTATCTGTTGATAGACATTTGGTTTGTTTTCAGTGTTTGGCTGTTATGAATAAAACCACTATGAACATTGTTTTACAAAACTGGTGGTCAGCATATATTTTAATTTTCCTTGGGTGAATACTTAGAAGTAGAAGTGTTGGCCAGAGTGGTTTTATTTTACATTTGCTGGTAGCTGCCGCCGCCGAAGAGGACCTTTTTCAGATATACACTGGCCATTATACTTGGGAAATACCTGTTTCATTTGTGTCCAAATCGGGTTGTCTTATTCTACAGTATAGATTACAGGTTCTTAGTACATTGTGGATTTGGATCTTATAGCACATGTGCATTGTGAATATTTCTAGTGTGTGGCTTCTTCTTAACATTCCATAAGGGTATCTTTTGAAATTTTTAATTTGGATGCTGGATACTGTTCAACTTACCTTTTTTTTTTTTTTTTTTTTTTTTTTTTC